AAATTCTAACCCGCCTATGGGTTCCTTTAGGCTTCTCCGCTTTTTAAAAAAAATGTACTTTGAAACATTGCATTAAGGAATGTACACTGTCTGGATGAAATAAATAAAATTGTTTGTTTTCATTATCTCTTCAACCGTCTATTACATTCATAAATTGCATTCATTCATTCTCACTTTAATATTAATAAGATAATAAAAGAAATGATTAATTGATGTGCTTCCCATGAATCAGAATAAGATATAGCCGATATCGGGGGTAAGATTAGAAGTGGAAGAATCTATTCCGCCAAGGAGCTATAAGATGACGCTCCTAAGAATAAAGGAAGAAATAAAAAGACCGAAGAAAAACATAATCCAAAGAAGAAATTGAGTAGACTTTGGAATCACGACGCTAAGACAGTTCTTTCAACGCTTCGCCAAAAAGACAAACTCACAGTAGGCGACAAGTTGGTCACTGTTCGAGCTAAAGACGACATTTAGATCAACAAGTCGTCTGCCTTACTTTGAATGGATGCGGCTGAAGAGGACCTTTGAAATATCTTTTGCCAATATGAAAATACTTCCCCAACAATATGAAGGTGACCCACATGATGAGGAAATATGGATACCGCCCAAACCAAGGGCTCATTAGAAACTCTCAAGGAATAAGGGAGCCACCAGATTTTAAAGACAATCCTTTGAAGCATGGCATAGGACATGACCCTACAAAGGATCAAGCTGTACGGAGAAAAGGGAAGTCTCCCCTCCGCACCTCGAATCAGATTTTTCCCAAACGAAGGGGCCCAAGCGTCGAGAATGACTTTAGTCATTAAGTGTTCTCCTTATGATTTTAAGGGATGTAAACCCAATGACTATTAGAGATTACTCCTCGGGCATTTAGGGATGTAAACATCTCATAAAATCATAGACTGCATTTAGGGAATTCACACACAAATAGTTGCATAATACGACTCTATCAAAATCAAAACTAAAAAATAAAATTTCTCCAAGTAAATAACAAAAACAAAATTCATGCATATAAGGAGGCTAGCTCCATGTTTGTGATTGAAAGATAGGAAGTTCCAAAAACAAGTCTCCAAATAATACTCTCCCTCAAGAAAGCAGAGCAAGTCGCCTCCAATAATCAAGCAACTCCAGAAAAATAAGAGCTTCCAAAAGTCAAAGCTCCAATCACTATCCTTCACCCAATAAAGGGAGGGCATAATCAACAATGTAAAAGCCGACGAAAAGGCTTAGTCATCCTCAAGAGGATCCTTACCTACTCCGAATGCAAAAGAAAATTACTCCCCATGGCTCAGCATCGCCATCACATGAGTCACCAAGCACACTCATACAAATCTCCACCACATTCCCCAAGGAAAATAACAAGCTCAAAAGAAAACCCTTTATCCCCCAGCGGATAACCCAAAGTGAAAAAAAAGTCGTGGCTAAGGAAAGCCAAATAACTCCCCAAGTGGTTCATACAAAAAATAAAAAATAGAGCAAATCAAGGGATCATAAATCCCATTCCTCCTCAACAGAATAAGAGCTTTAAACAAGCTCCCATTATCAAGGGCTCAACACAAAAAGAAAAAGAAGAAAACCCTACATCCTAGTGGATGTCCAAAAGAAATGGCCATGAAAAAGGAAGGCCAATAAACCCCAAAGCGGGCCACGAAAAAAGAAAATCCCCAAGTGGATCTCCCTAGAAAAGTCTATAAAAAGAAGGAATCAGAAATTCCTATCCCTCAGTACAATAAGAGCTTCACAAGGACAGCTTGCAGCCAAGACTCCATCCCCAGGAAATCGACTAATTCCCTGGTGGAGAACCAAAAAGAAAAAACCTCATCCCTTGTGGACACCCAAAAAGAAGAAAAAAAGCCTGCGTGCATAAAAAAAATTAAAAAGTAAAAAGGCACATGCACTATCAAGAAAAAGCCAAATTTCGAATCGCGAAAAAAAAGAGATAAATCGTGAAATTAAATAAAAATCCTAACTTTTAGGAAAACAAAATGCCCATTCCCCAATGAAATAAGAGCATCGCAAAGTCAGCTCACACTAGCATCTAACAAGGAGCCGAGACCCTATTCCCCCAAAGGGCTATCAAAGTCTGATCCCTCGGAAGTCAACCAATCCCCTAGTGGATCGATTAAAAAGAAATATCATCCCAGTAAGCCTACTGCAAAAGCAAAACTTCAAATTCATCCTTAGAAATTCATTCGCCTACACATAGGCAAAACCTGGCAAGCAAGAGTCAACATCCCCAGAAGGGAATATCAGCCTAGTCAGAGGCAAAACAAATGCAGTCAAAAGTCTTCACTTCCGATGAAGCATCTACCTACCAAGAGGTGTTACCAGAACCTCAATGAAGTATCTGCCTACCCAGAGGCATCATCAGAATCAACAAATCCCCAGTGGATTCTCGCCTACGTAAAATGCATTCACCAAAAATCCCCGATAACCAACAAAGTCGGATGGCTATTACAAAAGCCCAAAAAATAAAAGAATCCCCAACACTCAACCAGTTGGAGAAAGACCAACGAATCCCCGACAGACCGGAAGACTTCATCAGAAAAGTCAAAAATAGTTTATCAAGCAAAAAACGTTCCCCGCAGAGACTACGCATGAACAAAATCAGTAAGTCGCACCAGTCCTACAAAGTGGACTTTCCAACCAGACGGGGGTTCGTACTTGTCAAACCAGATGGGGGTGCGTACTCATCAAGTCTTACAAAAGGGGGCATAAACCAAACTTTGCAACCAAGGGGTCAACTACCTCATTAAAAGAGCATCCCAAGGTTACAAAAACCAGATGGGGGTTCGTACTCGTCAAACTAGATGGGGGTGCGTACTCATCAAGCCTTACAAAAGGGGGCTTAAACCAAACTTTACAACCAAAGGGGTCAACTACCGCATCAAAGGAGCATCTCAGAGGATCACACTTAGCGTCCAGAAGGTCGGCTACCATGACAAAGGAAGCAACCGAAGGACAACCGGGAAAGAGGGTCAACTCATTCACCCTTCAGCCAATCTTTTTGGCATGTTGAGCCAACATTCGGCTAGTCAGGTGAAGGGGGGGCAACTGTAGACCCCAAATATTGCCCGACCTCAAAATAAAGAGAAGAAGACTTCCGTTCGAAGATGGGCAAGGCCTTAAAGGTCCCTAGGATTGACCAATAGGCTCCATACTAGAATAAGAAGGCTTTTGTACACAAAAAATAAGAAATTCCACCCAGAAGACCGAGACTGCCATCTCGCCATTTGCTAAAGGCAAGACGATGGTCCCAAAAGTCAAGATGGCAGTCCCGACCTTATTAGGCGAGATGGCGGTCCCGATCTAACAGGTGCAAATTTCTATAAAAGGGGGGCATTCTCCTCGTTTTGAACAACTTCTACAACCTCTCCTACTGGATACTCCTCAAAATACTCTTATAGGATCTCCCTAAAGAATTTCCAGAGTCTTAGAGTTCTTAGAAAGTATTCTATAGTGCTTCAAGAGAGGAGTGGGCTGCATTGTAGAGCGTGGGGTTTGTCAAAAAGTACCCTTTTCAAGAGCATTTTATAAAAAAGCTTGCTTCGAAGGTTCTTTCATATCCCTTACTCTATTTTATCTCTTTTATTAGTTACTATCTCTGTGCATTAGTTATTAAGGGCCTTGTAGTCAACAATTTAAATTTTGTAATGAATAAATAAGAGTAAAAGTGTAGTTTTAATGAGAAGCTAATACATTCCCCACACGTAACAAACTCCCTTACCTAACTCTGGTTGTAATGACCAAAGTTGGTTTTTCTTAAAAACCATCGCCTTCGTTTCCTTTCCCAATGTTTTTGGTAAAAATATTGGTGGCTCCTCAGACCTTTTCAAAAACCTCGCCTTTAGGTCCAGCCCGGTTATCGGAAAACCTAAAGGCATTTAACCACTTCTTTAAAAAACGTGAGTCAACAAAACCATCGCGTCGCTCTGACCGCCTCTTTCGACGGTGGCGACACCCCTTAATGGGTTTCCTACCGGGTATCTTGCCCTCTCTTTTTTTGCCTTTGGCTTCTATGGACTTCTTTTGATATTTTTTTGCACAACATTGGCGAAACACGGATTTATTATGATGAGGTAAAACCTTATTTTGTGTTTCTAGTCAATTAGTGATGATGAGTGTGCTTTATTTTGATAATAGCGCGTTTTGATTATTTTGACTAATTTTTGAAAACGTTTGTTTAAACATGGTTATTATGAGGTTTAGACATGAACAACAAGAAAAGAAGCATATAGTAAGAATGACATTCTTTGTAATTAAAAGGGGAATATGTATCCTAAAATGCCCGGGGGTCAGGCTAGCCCCGAGGAGTAATCTCTAATAATCATTGGGCTTACATCCCCTTAGAATTGGAAGAAGAACACCTAATGATTAAAGTCGCTCAAGATACTTGGACCCTTTATTATTTTCTTCGGTCTATTTATTTTTCTTTCATTTTAGGAGCATCGTCTTGTGGCTCCTTTAGGGGAGTAGAATTTTTCGCTTCTTGTTATGCCCCCAATAACGACTATATTGGAGATATGTTCTTTGATCAACGATGTATCTGCATACCTCCACAATACAGCTTTATTCGATGTATAGGGGAAAGGACGAGGCGTGAATAAATGCCATGGCATCCTTGCCCCCTCTCCTTATTAACTTGGATGACCAACGGTTGAGGATTATTATCCTCCTTAGGTGGATCAGCCGTTGGGGAGAGCTTGATAACAAACGGTTTTCTCTCCATTCTTCTTCGATTCGTGGGAAGCACATCAATTGATCCTTTCTTTTTATTATCTTATTATTATTATTAAAGTGAGAATGAATAAATGCAATTTATGAATGCAATAGACAGTTGAAAAGATGATGAAGAGACTTTATTCATCTTGTTAAGAAAGTGCACATTCCCCTATACGATGCTTCAAAGCGCACTTTGGCTCGTTGATGGACTGCCTGGCTAGTAGCTTTACTATATCGGTGAGCCTTTTTTGCCTTCGCCTTATGATAAATGATCAAGGCTCATAAACTATCGGACCTTCCAATTGCTCGGTCTTTTTCTTTGAAGGGTTTGACCAAACTGAGCTAATCCCTTTTTCCTTTTCGGTGCGGAGCTCAGAAAGGCTTGCACTATGTTCATGGATAGTTTTTCCGTCATCTTTGCGCTTTTTAGACCGAGTCATTGTGAGGTCATCTTGCATCATCTTGGTATTAATATCTCGAAGTCGACTATCTAGATCGAGCTTCAGAACTTTTGGCGCTCGGCTAGTCTCCTTCTTGAGGTTAGCACATCCAATTTTGAGGCGTTCTATTTCTTCCTTTCTATATTTTTTATTTTTCTATTTATTTTTTTTATTTCTTTTGAAGTGCAGGCGCGAGACTCTTTAAATGTACGTCTCAAGCGAAGAAGGCATGCTTAGCAGTGTGATCCCCAATCACCACTAGTCTTTTACGAGTCAAGAATTCGGCCATAGGATCTCTCGAATTAGGAACGAACCTCGAGCGGCATCAATGTGCACAACTATTCCAACCCCTCCACATCATATCGAGGAATGTTCACTTTCTTCAACTGTCTACCGCTAAATGCATGTTATGAGGATGCATGCATGAAAGTGTTTTTTTTTCTAAACATTATCATGTTTTATTTTCTAACATGATGTAGGATAATGTTTGGGATTTTTGTATGTATATGAGAGCATGAAGAATGTCAGCAACTTCCTAGAATGCAAAAATAATTTTATTGTTTAAAATGAATGATTTATGGGATGGATATGCCTTAAGACAATGAGTTAGGTATCCTCCTTAAAGCTTACGCTTTATGGGGTATCATACCCACCTTGGTGTAATGGTTCCTTTGCCATCACAGATTTGACAAATATAACGAAGGTCACCATCACACCTTAGCACACTTGTCCCTTCCTTGTCACGGATTGACATGTATGACGAAGGTTACAAATGCACTTGGATCTCTTTAGCCTTTGTCTTAAGCATATCTAGTGCACCCTAGAATGAATGAATTTATGCATGAGAGATTTTTATTACAATGATGTTTATGCATACCTTTCTTATGCATTTATTTTCACTCTTATTTTTACCGCTCTTGAAATGATGAGGTGTCACCACCGTAAAAAAGAGGTGGTCGGAGCGATGCGATGGTTCCGACTTTCCAATTTTCACGTTTTTATGGGTGATGTTACAACGCCTTTAGGTTGTCCGATAACCGGGCTGAACCTAGAGGTGAGGTTTTCGAAAGGGTGTTCTTGGATTGTCAGATAACCGGGCTAACCCAAGAACTAATTTGAAAGGGTTCTTATGGAGTCGCCACCGATGTTTTTACCGGAAACATCGAAAAAGGGGTAAAAAGGCGTTGGTTTTCGAAAACCAACTTTGGTCGTTAAAACCAGAGTTTAGGTAAGGGAGTTAGTTACGTGTAAGGGAAGTGTTAGTTCCCTTACGACGCCCCTTTCGGGTTCCCTATGATAGGCCAACTATTTTATAAATAAACTTTTTGAAAAGACGCTTTTACCCTTTTATTAATGGAATTTAAAATAACGACTACATGGCCCTAATGTCTATCATGCAATTTAATCATAAAAATAAAGATAGTAAGAGAGAGAGGGAGAATGAAGAAACCTCCAAGGCAAGATTTTTATTAATACTCTTGAAAATTAGGGTGCGTTTTGGCAGCCCTTCGCTCTTTACAACGCCGAAATCTCTCTCGAAATGCTATAAAAAGGCTCTTAAAACTCTCAGAAACTCCGGAAATGCTTCAGAGGGGTTCTAGGAAGAGAATTTGAAGAAGGGAAAGTGGAAGAACTGTGTGAAATGAGGGGGGGAGTGCTCATTATTTATAGGAATTCGCGCCTGTCAGGTCGAGACGGCCGTCTCGCCATTCGGGACGGTCGTCTCAACTTGTAAAAGTGGCAAGACCGCCGTCTCGTTTGGCAAGACGGCGGTATCGACTTTCCCAGAAATGAGAAGGCCTTCTCGCCAAATGGGAGGGGGGTCTCGCCATTCGCAAGTGGCGAGACGGCCGTCTCGCCAAACGAGACGACGGTCTCGACTTGCTGGAATGGCGAGACGGCGGTCCTGAAAGGCAAGACGGCAGTCTCGATCCTTGAAGGTAAAAATCCTTATTTTAATGCAGAAAATCCTTCCTATCCTATTATGGGGCCTAATAGTCTCTCCTAGTGGCTTCTTACGCTTCATCCATCTTCGAATAGGAGGTCTTCTTGTCTTATTTTGAGGCCGGGCAAGATTTGGGGTCTACAGCTGCCCCCCCCCCCCTTTACCTGACCAGTCGACTGTTGGCCTGTCGTGACAATAAGATCGATTGGAAGGTTAAAGAGTTGACCCTCTTGCCCGGTTACCCTTCGAACGTTCTGTCTTGCGGCGGGTGATCTTCTGGGGAAAATTGTGTTGTGCACGTCCAGGATACTCTTTCTGACGGTAGCCGATCCCTTCGGTTGACACATGGTAGAACCTCAGGATACTCCTTCTGACGCTAGCCGATCCTTTGGTTGATGGGTATAAACCCCCTATCAGGCTGGTAGTTACAGCCTACTGTGCGTAGGACTGGATGAGTATGAACCCCCCCATCAGGCTGGTAGTTACAACCCACTGTGTGTAGGACTACATGAGTATGAACCCCCCATCAGGCTGGTAGTTGCGACTTACTAATCCGGCTCGAGCGCAGATCAGGCGTACCGCGTGCGCAGGTTGATAGGTATGAACCCCCTATCCGGCTGGTACAGTCCACTACGTAGGACTAGTGGTGGTGGCGGCTTACTGCTCGGGTGGCTCATGCGCCGAGCACTAAGATGCGTTCTCTTGTCTTTGTTTTTTGTCTTTTCTAGGAATGGTTGTCCGTTCTGTGGCGGGGATTCTGTTGGTGCTCATCCAGCTTGTTGGTTGCTGGGGATTCTTTGATTTTTCTAGTGGTCATCCGACTTTGCTAGTTGTCGGGTAGTCTTGTTTATTGTTGTTCGCCTCTTGCTTGGTTGTCGAAAATTGTTGGTCAAGGTGATTAACTTGTTTTAATCCTGCCTTTTTCCGCGGTTTTATCTCTTTTTTCTCACGATTTTGGATTTTGGCTTTTTTTGAGCGTAAGTCTTTTTACTCTTAGTTTCTTTTTCTTACACTGACTCTTTTGAAAAGGAGAGTAAAATGCATGAAATGAAATTTTATTTATGATAGGAATTTATTACAGCAGTTTATTTCCTAAGCACTATCCCTAAGACGGTGGACTCGAGTCTGGAGACGATCCATAAGAGGGGAATTGTCGGTACAGGTGTCTTCGGAATTCTGCTTGATCCCGGGCTTCGTCGAGGTACTCCTGTCGAAATGTCGCCAGGTCCTGCCTTATTCCCTCTTGGTATTGGTTTAATGTCTCCATCCTCATGTCGAGGGCATCTTGCCTTTGGGACATTTGCTCTTGTCTCATGGACATTTGGTCGAATTGCTGGCGCAAATTGTAGATGTTGCGTTGATGCCAGCAAAGTCGTCCATGTACTGTTGCTATTGTTGTTGTTGTTGCTGCTGTTGTTGGAACTCCGGGGGTGTCAGGAGATCCTGCATTGTTACGAGATCCCGGAGATCCAAAGTTATGTCCAGTGAGGGGTGGAGGATCAACCGGGTCCCTTGGCGTAGCAGCATCCCCATGCTGACCAGGACCGACCTGTTGATAGTCTCGGGTCAGAGGTTGGAGGCTAGTACCTCCCTGCCACTGCACCCCCATTTTTTTGCCAGCGGGGTGATGAGGGGAGCCATGAGGATGGCTCCCATGGGCCGGCTCCTGAAGTCCTTGAGGGCCTTCAGGAAGAAATAGCAAGGGTTGCACTGGCGCCTCTGGCTCATGCACTAGAGGACGAAGATGTTCGGGAGGATAACTTTACCCTAACTCTCTTTGCGCCTGTGGATAGCCCCAGCCAGCAGCTTGTGGCAGATGCGGAGGGCGGGGGGAAGTGCGGAGCCCTTCAGCAGTGTCGGCAGGGTGTGCGCCCGGTCGGCTCCTCCCACATTTCGCCAGCGGTGAGGTTGGTGGGGTGTAATATCCTAAAATTTGCAATCAATTATATAAATAAATTTTGTAAGTTATAAATATGTACCGAATACTATGTAGAGTTATTATAAAACATGATTTTTATAGTAATTTTGTCTTAAGAAAATTATAAAATAAAATCTAAGGTTAATATTGTGTCAAATAATAAATAATAAAATTAAATAAATGAATAAATAAATATTTAGAAAAAAAAAATAACGAAAAGAGAGAAATGGTATTCAGGGACCGTAGTTTTAGATCAAGTCAATAAAACCTTTGAATTAAGCTCGGTGAAATAAGGCGGTGGAGAATAAAATTAAAGAAAATTCGAGAAGTACTATAAGTCGGTAAGATAAGTGTATAAATAGGAAGAAATTTGAAAACTTACTTACACAAAAACATACAATTCCCGTCATTTACAAATCCAACAGAGAGGCACCAGAAATTCTGAGAAGAAGAATTCGAGAGAAAGGAGGAAAGGGGAGCATAAGAAATTAAGATAATAATAAGATTTTGAAGGAGCCAGGTATGGGTTAGACGTTTAGTTTTATTCATACGAATGTCTCGTAATTGGAGATTACTATTCATCAATTGCAAAGTTTGAAATATTGTTGAAATTCTTTCAATTAAGGATGAATTATATAATAAAATAGTTGTTTTTAACTTAAATTGAACATGTTTATGGTTTAATTTTGATTTGGAACTAATTTGAGTGATTGAAACCGAGAAATTTGAAACCTGGATTTCGAAAATGGCGAACTCGGATGAAAATTCGCAAAATTCGCTCAAGCGAAAAATATATCGCTTGAGCGAGGACACCTGGAAAATTTGGGATTCTCGGCTTCTTTATCGCTCAAGCGAAAATTAAATCGCTTGAGCGACTAAGGGTCATGTCTCGCTCAAGCGACCGTGTACTCGCTTGAGCGACGAAAGCTTCAAACAAAGGGGACTCTTGGGTCATGCCTCGCTCAAGCGACCGATGTACTCGCTTGAGCGACGAAGCCTTCAAACAAAAGGGGACTCTCGGGTTCCATCTCGCTCAAGCGACGGTGTACTCGCTTGAGCGAGCGAAGGAAGAAGAAAGGACTAGGTGGGAATTTTTGCAAAAGATCAAGGGTAAAATAGTCATTTCACATATTAGGGACATAAATGGAATTTTGAAAAAGGTTAAGGGTATAATCGAGATAAAGTCAAACAATATATTACCCCCTCTTTGTTTAGTAGGAAAACAACTCAATAAACGTTAGAATTTGAGGATAGTGCCTTCATCAAAGTTAT